TTAGTCAGAGAATTTGTTGTCAATGTACTACTAGTATTACTTCCAGCGCTTGATTGTGACTGTTTTAGACCGTGACTGCCGTGGCCTCTGCGTTCATGCACTAAAAGTAGCTGCATTATATCTCCTGATCCGCTACCAGCCGCGGGTGGTGGGTTTCCGCTTGCAGAAACAACTGAAGTTGTTTCAGAATAGTCTGTCATCATAGAGTCGGTAACGCGTCCTGGGGCAAGAGTTTGAGTAAGAACAGACGAGTTCGAGCCCCCAGAGCCACGATCCAATTCACCTAACCCTAAAAACAGGAAAAAAGATGTCTTAAATATGCGACACTGCATAGCTCTAATAAGGCTTTCGGGACCAGATCGATATAAAGACTTACCCAAAAGAGGTCCCTGATGAACTGTGCTTTCAGCTAGCCAAACTGGGCGGTCTTTAGTCGGCATATTTCCGGAAGATCCGCAACAGTTGGTCGGGGTTAGGACTATTTTGACGGTGCTCTCACTTGCCCCAAAAGTTATGCTTCGCTGAGAGCCGGAGTTCCAGAGGCTGCTCTCGCTGGGCGAGTCGGTCCTGACTCCACTTGAATCGAAACCAGATAACGAACGGTTGGCAGACTCCTGAATAATAAGGGTTATACAGGATCATAAACAAGCATAGAACCAAATAAATCGTATAGTTAAATAATTACTAGCTTGATGCACTAAGCGAAAGTACATCAATAGGAATGATACTTTCAAAACGGAAATCTCATCATCTAAAAGGGTGGTGAGTTTTTATTATATTTCGGAGCGATAAATGTCAGTCGATCATTTATTAAGGCTATTGAATAAGCATTGAAAATTTTAATCGTAGATACATAACCAAGATGGTCGAACTTGTTTTCGTAACCTAGTCGGAGAGTCATGATGACCTTGTGGAACTTACTTGCCATAGTTTTCGCAATTTCCAGAGTTGGACCATTGTCTGAGTACATTCCCAAAGGCTTCGCCGGCATCGTCAGTGAGAGGCACCATCGTAGGTTTAGATTTACAACATATCAAAGTTACAAATGAAAACAGTCCTGATCAATTTTCTGTTCAACCATTATGGCACTAATCCTTGCCCAATCACTCCAGCCAATGGTCCAATGCTGGAAATCACGAATACTAAGGCAGAGGAAACGGGACTAGGTACATTCCACAAGGTTTCACTAACGCTCCGACCAAGTTGCGAAAACAAGTTTGAACCAACACTATACGTTCAAATCAACAACAGTTGGCCATTTTCAAGATCGTATTATCTGGTGTATTCT